CGTTTGGTTCACTCAGAGTAAATATTTATCTTTTTTGTATCTGTTAATATTAGGATTGTTTTAAGATATGTTAAATTCTCCTTAGACTAATAGGTTGGTTCATTATTAAATATCAAATAGCATTAATGGCATATGATCTCACCAGAAATGATTACAGAAATAAAAGTATTTAATCTAGCTCATGGCAGCATTTAGTGTCACAGAAATATCAGAATGACTTTATTTCAATCACAAGTTTGCAATGTAAATTAATACATAAAATATTTACAGGCTTTAGAGATCTCTGATACATGTGTATATGTGTATATATATATATATATATGAATCAATATGATGCTAAAATAGTGATTCTTAGAGGCTGGGAAAGGTTGTAGGATGGGGGAGATTGGACAACAAGTGCCAATATGGATTCAGGTGAACGTAATGGGTTCTAGTGTTGCATAGAACAGTATGGTAACCATTGTTGACATAAAGGAAATAAAAGGGCTAATCGCTGGTTTTATTTTTTTTATGTTGTTTTTACATTTGTCACAATATCACACTGTTTCTCACAATATGTTTAGGTATTTGGTGTTAATCCAATAAAAATAAATTTAGAGAAATAAAAGTAAAAATAAAATAAACCAAACTAATAAAAATGACTTTCATTCTAATAATATTTAATGGGCTATGACTGGGTTAAATATTTTTTTCAATGGGCTGTTTTTTTTCTCTTATCCTAGCACATAGCATTTGGTGTTGTTCATTGTAACAAGTTAGTGGAATATGATCTCCTAATTAGATGATTCCTAGCTCTTAGCAGAATTCCTGGCAGACAGCAGAAGTTCAATAAATATTTGTTGCACATAATAGATACAAGAGCTGATATGATCATCATTATTTTCTTAGATCACTTGGTGGGTTTTATTTTTAAGGTTTATTTATTTGAAAGAGTTATAGAGGGGGAGAGACGAAAATGGAGAGAGAGGAAGAGAGATGGAGTAAATCCATAGGACTCCCCACAGGTTAACTCCCTAGATGGCTACAATGGCCAGGGCTGGGCCAGGCCAAATTCAGGAGACAGGAGCTTCATTTGGGTCTCCTTCATTGGTTTCGGGGGTGCAAACATTTGGGCCATCTTCTGCTGCTTTTCCCAGGCCAGTGTCAGGGAGCTGGACTGGAAGAGGAGCAGCTGGGACATAGACCAGGTCCATGTGGGATGCTGATGTCATAGGCAGTGGCTTTACACAGTACACCATAATGCTGGCCCCAGATCACTTGGTTTTATTCACTTACATGTTTGAGGGTTGATACAGAAAGATAAAAAGCAATAGAAAAGAAGGAAGAAATTATTTTGCTAATATTTCCACATAGCAGGATTAATGAATATTGTTGTGTAGCAAAGTACTTTGATTAATTATGCTTTGGTATATTCTTTGGCAGGTATGTATAATAATAAAAGACTGCAAAACTCAGTGGAAAAGGAAGAGCTTCATTCAATATATACTACATATATATTCATATATCTATATATTTCATTTCACACTTATTAGTGAGGGTATTGGGGAAGCAGAGACTGTGAGCCGTAGATATCTCATTTGCAGATTGATATGCAAATCACAGTTATGAACAAAATATTTAAATGAGGTAAGATGCAACTGATGTATTAAACAGAATACATAATTATTTAAAACATTTACCTAAGGCATAACTATATAATTTAAAAGAAACAAGTGGATAAAGAACATGAAAAGAGTATAATTATCAACACAGGAGAAGCTAGGATGTATACATATACACAGATATGCATATGTTTGTGTGTGTATGTCTGCATGTGTACAGAGGATTTAAATGAAAGTTTTTTTTGACATACAATTTGAGAACTAATGTTCTAAAACTTGTCACATGCAAACTGAGTTTCCTATGAATATTAGCAAAATTTCTAAAATGGTACTTATGATGGTCTTCAAAAAGTTCATGGAAAATGCATATTTGGAGAACTATGCATAGTTTTCAATTTTTTCACTGAAATGAACTTATCTTTTAATAATATTCATCCATGAACTTTAAAAATTATTTATTTATTTTCATTTTATTAAAAGGCAGAGAGATCAGACATAGAGACAGAGATTGAGACAGAGCTAGAGCTAGAGATAAGGATAGATAGAGAGAAGGAGGGCAGGCAGTATCCTCCAGTCACTGGCTCCTTCCCCAAATCCCTGAACAACTGGGGCTGAACCAGGAGGAAACCAGGTCTCCCATGTAGGTTGCAGAGACCTGAGTACTTGGGCTATTATCTTCTGCATCCCAGGGAGCACATTAGCAGGAAGCAAGAATCAGAAGTAGGGCCAGATCTTGAACCCAGGCATATCAATATAGGATGCAGGCATTCCAATGGGTGTCTTAATCACTGCACCATATGCTGTCCCTTCTATGAAATTTTTAAAATACCCTTGTATGTCTACAGGGTAGTGAGGTAAAAGAGACTGAACGAAAGAACATATATGATGTGCTAATAATACTGGTGAATAGTAAGTGCTTTCTGAGTTTCCATTATTACCATTATCAGAAATAAGGTTAGTAAAGTGTTGGGAAAGCTATTACTTTACATGTATTTAGACAAGCTGTCTAATAAGTAAAACTAGCTCCTATTCCAAAATACAGCAAAATTGATTAAAACCTGGCTTTTACAACACTATTTTCATACATTGTCTTACTACAACACATTCCGTTGTAATGACTAATTTATAGATGATTACCCCTCTCTGATAGTCTTTGATAAAAGAAATTATATTCTATTAGCTTCACACTGCCAATTTATAGTGTTGTATCCAGTACACAGATGAGCTGGATATATTTTTAATGGATGTTCAAAAAAAAAACTCAAAGTGTCCTAGAATGAACAGAGAACAACAAATGAATTTATATGTGAAGAATTGGGAAAGAGTATAGAAAGACATAATCAAAATTTTGAAATGGTTGATTTGTTCATACAACTAGAAATAGTAGAGTTGGAATCAAATCCAGGTTTCATAATTTTGATATGATCTTCAACAAGACATGGGACATACTAAGATTATGGAATACTCATCAGTTACCAAAACAGGATCATGACTTGGAAAGAATAGGGCTGAACTTGATCTAGGTATTCTAAGATAACTTAGATAATCGTTGTTAAGAAATGAACTTATAATGAAATTTGAATATAGTCTATACTAGGCACAAATTATATAAAGCATTATGTATGTATGTTTTATTTTTAATACCTCTGTTACGACATATCAGGGGTAGGGCCGGCGCTGTGGTGCAGCGGGTTAAAGCTCCGGCTTGTCTACAATGGCTGGGGCTAGGCTGGGGCCAAAGCTGGGAGCCAGGAACACAAGCTAGGTCTTCTATGTGGTTGGTGGGAAACCAATGATTTGAGCCATCATCACTGCCTCCCAGATGGGCACCAGTTCGAGTCCTGGCTGCTTCTCTTCCAATCCAGCTCCCTGCTAAAGTGCCTGGGAAAGCAGTAGAAGATGGCCCAAGTCCTTGGTCTCCTGCAGTCATGTGGGAGACCTGGAAGAAGCTCCTGGCTCCTGGCTTTGGATCAGCTCAGCTTTGGCTGTTGTATCCATTTGGGGAGCACACCAGCAGATAGAACTAACTTACTTACTTTCTTTCTCTCTCTCTCTCTCTCTCTCTCTCTCTCTCTCTCTCTCTCTCTAACTCTTTCAAATAAATAAAATACATCTTAAAAAAAGACATATCAGAGGTAGAGAGTGTCCCTCTGGGTTTATAAACAGGAAGGCAGAAGTGAGTTTTAAGGTCTTATTTCTTAAAGTAACACATAACAATTGCACAAACTGGCAAACAAGAATATCAATAAATGGCTTCTAGCTGTAACTAATGGATCAGTTTAAACATATTATAGTGGTCATAGTTATGTTTAAAAGAAAAAGCTTTATTTTTTGAACATATTCCAAAAACTCAGGAGCAAAACAAAGTTTAATTACTTATATCTAGATAATGTAGATAACAGTAAATGTAATTACATGCTAACTGTCACTTAATGGGAATTAAAAACATAATTAAATTTCATATTTAAGTAAAGGCAGAGATGTTGGCTAAACAAATGATGTTGGAGTTCCAGGCTTCTTATCCTCTCCCTTTAATTATGCTCAGTCTTTTAACAGGGGTTTCCACGTGCATCTCCATTTCATGTACTCAGTAGATTGTATCTTTGCAGACCATTTAAGAGTTTTCTGAGTGACAAAGTAAGTAGACTGGTTGTTTAAAAGAAAGTCACGTCTGGCTTCTGACAGCTTTAGAAGTCTCTGCAAGGTTTGTCTAAGTGCCAGCCCTCAAAAAGCCATTCAACCCTTTTGTCCCCCTAACTACATCGAGACAAGCTAAGACTGTGGATATATGGCAAGGGAGTGGGAAAAGGTCAGATTACAGACAAAAGCATGAAAGCTTGCTTTTACCAACACCAGCCGAGGGTGTGCATTGACAAGAAAAAGTAATCTAATAGAAATTAAGGGCACTGATTCAAAACACTGTGTAAACTACAGAATGGGCATGATTTGGGTGGTAGTTGGTGTTGGGGCTGGATAATATATAACTAACCTGGAAACATATGGTCCAATGAAAAAATTTGGCTGATAAATATAATGAAGGAAATTCGAATAACTAACTGTTACATGGGAAAACAAATTACGTCAAAATGGTGTAATTCTTAAACTATTTGTTTAAAATATACCTTAAGACATTTAACAAAGCTTTAAGAAGTTATTGATTAAAGAAAAAAACAGGTAAGCAATATTGGCTCTAAAGGATAGAATTGTAACAGAAAGAACATGTTGCTAATCCTTCGAAAATATAGCTTCCCGTCATTCCTTTCTGGTTTTCCTTTTTCCATCAGGATTTACGAAGCTATCAAACCATTCATCTAGAAAGTTCTAAAACTTCCTCTGTAAGGTATTTTTGTCCTACAAGTCCAACTGTGGAAGTATAAATAAGATGCCAGTGATGCTTACCATCTCCAGGGTCAATGATCTCCACTGTGGTGGCTGCAGGGAATTCAAGAGCAGCCAGCACGGGCTCCGAGAGAACCACCTGGAAGGTCTCAGACTGCTCATGCTCTCCATCACCCACAATGCGCACTCGCCAGGTGGCTCTTGTCTGGCCTGGGTTGAACTGCACTTGTTTCTGTGCTTTGCCCTTGAAGTCCTTGTCTTTTTCTGCAGTCCCATCTCTTGTGCCAATGCCTTGAAAGAAACATATCATTTTCTTAGTTCCATTTCATTGGATTAACAACTTCCTTATGAAACTTAAAAATATACATTTGAGAAACAGAGAGAGAGAGAGAGAAAGAGAGAGAGAGGAAGTGAGCATGTGAGAGCAAGCTCTCTCATCCCCTGGTTCACTCCCCAAATGTCTACAATGGCTGGGGCTAGGCTGGGGCCAAAGCTGGGAGCCAGGAACACAAGCTAGGTCTTCTATGTGGTTGGTGGGAAACCAATGATTTGAGCCATCATCACTGCCTCCAGTATCTGCATTAGTAGGAAGCTGTAGTCAGGAGCTAAAGCTGGGAATTAAACATAGGTACTCTGGTGTAAGATGTGGACATCTCAACTGCTGGCTTAGACACTCCCTTCCTTAATAACTTTTTATGTGTCATTTCATCCTGGAAAGAAAAGTGAACCCTGTTTTGATTCCGTGAAGTGAATAACTGTGTGATGATGAAAAGTGTTCTACTGCAGTTTAATAGTTTCTACTCTTGCCCCAATTATGGTTTTGCTATATGTTCTTTGGGCTAATTTTTGTTAGAATGTGTTGTAAAACAAGCAAGTTTATATTCATATTGTACAATATCCTTCCTTCTACATGTTCATACAGTCTTAAGGCTCCTCACATTTACTTTTTTTATTTATTTGACAGGTAGAGTTATAGAGAGAGAGAGAAAGAGAGAGAGAGAGAGAAAGGTCTTCCTTCCATTGGTTCACTACCCAAATGGCTGCAATGGCCGGAGCTGTGCCGATCTGAAGCCGGGAGCCAGGTGCTTCTTCCAGGTCTCCCATGTTGGGGTAGGGGCCCAAGCACTTGGGCCATTTTCCACTGCCCTCCTGGGCCACAGCAGAGAGCTGGACTGGAAGAGAAGCAACCGGGACTAGAACCCGGTGCCCATATGGGATGCCGACGGAGGACTAACCAAGTGAGCCACGGTGCCAGCCCCCTCACATTTACTTTTACATGCTTTGCTGCATACCATAAAATTATAAGAGAAATCATCTAATTAGAAAATATAGGCCAATAAGGGACTGACTCAGAGAACTTTGATAATCTAAGTCACAATTAGGCAAGAAGAATTAATAAATATGATAGTATTCTCTAAACATTTAATGGAACTATAGTCCTTCAGGGAATCTAAATCAGTGTTTGTCAATATGTTCACTGCCAAATTTTCTTTGTGGAACACCCCAGAACTCCACAAAAGCATGAGAAAGAATTGGAGAGCTAAACTTACATGGTTACTCTGAGCGGTAGACACAGCTTACCCTGATGACTTACTTACTCAAGGTCTTTTTCAGTGAGCTGGGGAAGTTGGAGAGTCTGAGTCTCTAACCACATCTCAAGATCTTTATCATTCCTATGCAGGTACTCAAACTACACGCTATATCAGTGAACTTCAAAAAGTTCATGGAAAAATGGAATTGAAAGTTTATTTTGATAGAAAAATAAATTTGAAATCTATGTGCTTCTCATTAACTTTTCAAATGCCCTTAATAACCATGGATTTCAATATTTTTTCTACCAAAAAAACTTAAAATTCCATTTTTCATAATTTTTTTTGAAGTACCCTCAAATTATCCAAAAAGCAGGAAACAAACTCAATGTTATAAAAGAATGATAAAACTGTAATAGCACTCATACCTGTATATCCTTAAGTACTGAACCAAAACTTTTTAAGTCACATTAACAGAATAATTCTCAAATTGGTGTTTTCAGAGAAGTTGGTAGGAAAGACAGATTTTAAAGAGGCTGAAGTAAAGCCTTACAACCGCTAGATTTTCTAAGTATTAAAATAAATTATTTGTAGTATTTTTTCACTTCATTGAGGAAGTTATCATAGTTTTGGAAAACTCCTTTTGTTCCTTAAAGTAGAAATGAAACTATACCAATTAGGCATTAATCCCACAGAAATTCACCAAGTACTGACCATGTGTGAAGCTCTACCCTACATTCTGGGTCTGTATCTAACAACAAGGCAAAACCCCTAGCCCTCATACTGCTTACATACAACATTAATGTGAATATTCTTCATTTGAATATATATCACCAACTGTTAAATCTTTAAATGAGGGTGAAGGTAAAGGTTGCATTGAGATTATTTCATATTTATCTCAGAAAAATAACTGATATGTATAAATATTGCATTGAATTTGTATTTTTCAATAGGAGGTAAAACATGATTTATTGAATGGCAAGAGAAAAGTGGGAACAAGAATTACAGCACAGCACTTCTTGAATGTTGCAGACTTCCTGTTAGTGCTCCGGTTCCTAATGCACCCAGAGTGGTTGTCAACACCTCTTGGATCCACCACAATTCACTGCCAGGTGATGATGAAAGGTTCCAGAACACATGCTGCTCACTGACCCAGCTATCCCCAGAGGCAAGAAATCTGTTAGTCTGCCTCTCTCTGATAGCTACTGCCTGCCTTTCTGTTTTGTTTCACTTTATTTCATCAGCAATTCATTATTTTAACGGAAATGCAAAAGGCAGTTAAGAATAAAATAGAAGCAGTATAAAACAGGGAATGTCCACTCATTCCAACCAGTCATCCTTACAACATGACAGTCAACTCACCCAACCTGTGAACAATAAGTTGCAATAACAAATATCAAAGGTTTCTGCTAAAAGCACCCATAATTTTTTGGCAGATCTTACAAGAGAGTCCCTGTGAAATGTGAACTAGAAATGGACAATATCCCTGGAATGAGATAATGGATTCCATACTCATTTGGCCATACAACAGCTATGGCATTGCAAACAAGTTATTAACTACTTTCAGTTGATGAAGATTTAAGAACTGTGCATCATCGGTTAAGGGTGTAGTTGCTAAATCCAAATCTCAGCTCTGCTCCCTACTGGCGGTGTAACTTTTAATATATTTTTGAAAAGATTTATCTATTTGAGAGGCAGACACACACACACAGATAGCATTATATATAATGAAAGAGAGAGTGCAAAAAAGCAAGAGTGAGAAAGACAGAGAGAGTACTCCCATCTGCTGGTTCATACCCCAAATGCCTGCAATAGCTTGGAACAGAGTGAGCTGAAGTTGAGAGCCAGGGACTCCAGCCAGGTTTCCCACTTGGGTGGCAGAAACTCGATTATGTGACACATCACCGCTGTCTTCCTGGGTCTGCATTAGTAAGAATCGGGAGTCAGTAGTTGGAGCTGGTGCTCCTAGGTGCGATATGGGTGTCTTAATTGGCAACTTAACTACTAAGCTAAAGGTCTGTTCAGGCTATGCAGCTTTGGACATATCACGTCCCTGTATTCTCACCTGTAAGATCGGGAATATAATGCGCCCTTCTCCTGGAGTTGACCTATGTGGGTTATTGGTAACTAGGTTTGGCATATAGTAAATACTCAGTAAATGTTAGCTGCCACTGTTACTCCATAGTCCATTACTCAACACAGTACTTGTCACACAAGTTCTTTAGGAAATAGCATCATTTAAGTGAAGAATGGTGGTTGTAAGGAGTAAAAGAGATAGGAAAAGTGCTTATGGTGCTTAATGAAGTGTTTTGCCTTTAATAGAAATGTTTAATAACCAGTAGCAATAAGATCTTTGCAACGCAAATACTTTTGTGAAATACAAATATTTGTGTAAGTTTACCAGCAGGTTATAATGGTTGTAAAATGAATATCTTTGGGAAATATGTAAATTTCATGTAACTCATGATTTACTAACTGTGGTCAAGTGATATGCCTTTCAGTGTAAGTGATGTTGTCCTCAGATATGATGTAAAATATCTTGTTATAAAAGATTGCAAATGAAAGAGGAGTTTGTAAGGGTGCAGTTAGATGAAATGTATTCATTGTGGAACTTCTCTGAGGCTACTCTTCACTTTCATCGGACTTCCATGCCAAATCCTAATGGGAATTCTCTCACCATCTTCAGTGTGGGACAGATGTGGGCCACACACTGAAGCCTTTCCAATTGTCTCTGCCCCAGGTTACTAAGTAACCATGTGAAGTTAGCCAGGCAAAGCTGTAGAGCCTTTACAGAATTGCTGCTAGTCTCCACATTCGGAGAAAATAGCAGTTTGGTGAAAAAATGCCCTTCAGGAAAAAGAGCTCTTGTTTGACATTTCAGCTCAGGAAATAAAAAAGGAAACAGAGAGAAACATCTGAAAAGACAATTAAAAAAAAAAAAAAAACTTTGTTACCTATTAAGTTTCCCAGTGCTAATCACAGACTAGTTGAGTATAAGCATTGACATATACTCCTTAAGAGAATAAAATACAAATAGACGAAAACATCTTTAACAATTGTTCTCTACTTTTTTGTCACTGTTTTTTTTTTTTTTTTTTTTTTTTTTTTGCTGTATTTTCAAGCACAAAGAAGAGTCAAGCCTGAGCTCGCATCAATACGACAGACAGACTCTGCAGAGTCTTGTGTGGAGAAAGAGCCTATATCTGAGAGCTGTAAGAGCATTCTCCCCACCCCAGCCCCAGCAGGTTAAATGCAGAGTGAGTGGAGGCCACGTGGCTGCCCACACAGAGCAGGAAGCAGCCTCACAGGTATGCAAAGTGGATCCACAGGTGAACTAAGCCCCTGGAGCCAGAGGAGCTGAAGGGATTGACAGAGCATAGTGTGAACAACACTCTTATAAATAAAAAAAAGTGTTTTTTTTTTTTAAAAGAGGCAATTCATTTCCAGAATCCAAATGTATCAGGGAAAATTGCAGGGGTTGTGGCCTGAGAAAGGTATTAAGTGTGAGTGTAGTGTGTGTGTGTTTTGTTTGTATGTAGATCTACTATTCAGCTTGAGTTCATGGACCAGTACGATATCAAAGAGCTCATCATTTTGAAGACAGACAGGGTTATTTTTTCTTTTGCCAGTGTTTTCCTAGATGTCTAACTGAATTGATAATCTCACACAATGGAATCTGTTTCATTCCATGCAAATTCTACTGGCCTAATTGTAAAACATATGGCACTGAAAATAATATAATTGAGTGCTTTTATTTTTCTCCTTAATTTCAAATATTTTGTGCCAATTAGATTACTGCTTTTCTCTATGTATGCTTATATGAAGTATGAACTTGAATGGAGTAAAGAAAGGTTTATCTGTTTGATTTAGAGTCAGTTTTATTTAAAAGAGGTAAAGCAAAAGAAAATGATTAGTACTTAACACTATTGGTTACAAGCAAAAATTACAACATGTATCTTGCATTGAATTGGCATTTCTGAAACTTAGTGAGCCAATATTGAAATTTGACAAGTAGATAGTAAATTATACTTTAATGTCCAATAAATTGCTGAATAGCCTTTTCCTGTTTGATTAAAGAAGTTTCACACTGATGTTTCCACAGATTTTTATCTTACAGATAAATTACAGATCCCCTAAATTTATTCTAAGATCTAATGACATTTGTTTTTATGTTTTCATGTTTGAATAATTACTGTCACAATTCTATATTCTGTATTAGAGATCACTCTTAGATAGAGGCCAGAGAGGCCTGTAGCCTTACATGAATCTCTCAGCCTGTTTCTTTAGCAGTTAAACATCTCCCTGAGCTTCTAGAACTAAACCAGTGAACTCAGCTGGTATTTTAATCCCCATAAAGAAATTAAAAACCGTGCCTGGAAAAAAAAAAGATTTTGAGACAGAAGTGAAAGTTAAACTTACTTATAAACGATGTTTCTCCCAAGTAACCTCTGCGTTTAAGAACAACATCTAAAAATTTGGAGTCCTCATTGATCAGGTAATATTCTTTTTCAAATGAGATCCATGCCCAGTTCAGACGGAAATGCTGGTTGGTTAACTTGTTTCCCCCTGGAAAACAAATGAAGACCTAAGTCCATGCCTTTTAGAATGAATGACCTTCCAAATTCCATAGACTACTTTAATGATGTAATATTAACCATCAGTACAGCAACTTGGTTTGCTACACAACTCAAGCACATGTCTACAGTGATACAGCTCACTCTATTGTGACTGTTACACAGACATATAGTAGCTGGCAAAATTCTGTACATACTTCTTGCTCAAGGAAGGAATTGCTTCCCCCTTGCTTTAGGAAGTGAACTGAGAAAGAGTTTGGAAGAAGCACACAACTACCCCAAGCAATGTAGTTTTATTTTTTTCAAAAAGTTTTAGTTAAGGTATACAAGTTTCATGTATTTCATATATACAGATTTAGGGGCATAGTGATGCTTCTTACCCTACCCTCTTTCCCACCCACGCTACCACTCTTCTTCCTCCTCTCTCTCCCATTCTCACTGTTAATTTTTACAAAGATCTATTTTTTTTTACTTTATACTCATAAGATTAATCCTAAAGTAAGTAAAGAGTTCAACAAAGGGTAGGAAGAAAAAAAAAATGTTCCTCAAGAGTAGAGACAAGGGCTATAAACAATCATCAAATCTCAAAATTTCAATTTCACTCCAATACATTACCTTTTAGGTACTCTATTAGTTACCCCAGATCAGGTAAAACATACGGTATTTGTCTTTTTGGGACTGGCTTATTTACTAAGTATAATGGTTTCCAGTTGCATCCATTTTGTTGCAAAAGACAGGATTTAATTTTTTTATTGCTAAGTAGTACTCCGTAGTGTATATATACCATAATTTCTTTATCTTGTCTTCAGCTGATGGATATCTGGATTGATTCCATATCTTAGCTATTGTGAATTGAGCTGCAAGGAACATTGTTGTAAAGCTAGTATTCAAGCTGCAGGATGTCACACTAACCACAAGGTGCCGCAAGAGAGCAAGTGTTTCCATAAAGAGGGCTGCAGGTCTCTTGCGAGGTTTCTTAAAGACACACAGTTTCACAAATACCTTTTTCTGGTTCACGGAGCAATTTGGGGGAAGGCTTTAATTATAACCACTTAAGGAAAAACAAATATCCCCTCTCCGCCTCCCTTCCCTATTAGATTCCACCTCCATTCCTTAGAGCAAACAACTCCTTTTTTCCATTGATTTCCACTCTACTCTGCAGATAAGGTTTTCTCCTCCCACCTTCCCACCAAAATGGAACTGGTTGTCCATCCGGAGAAATGTGTGATCTCTAGTTAAAGCAACTATGCCAGGAAAATGAAAGAAGTGGTTATCAGCTGAACTCTGCACTGTCCCCTCTGCTTCTTTTGATCTACATCAATTATTTCAAAGGCATCAGTAATTCCTTGCAAGTCTTTCTGGAAAACAGTAGGAAAAAGTCTGAATAATAAGTACAGCTAGAGGCACAATTTTAATTCTAGTTTCTTCTCTGAGAAAAAAAAATGAGACAAGAAAATATTAATACTTTATTAGATCAAGAGCAAAAAAGTTGACACAAGAGGAAATGTGAGTGAATAAACACACAAAAATACATTTAATTTTCCTGCATTTTTTTAAATAAAAATTACAAGGATTTTGAATTCTCAGTTGACACATATTAACAATGAAAGACAACACCCAGTACAGGTGAGATTATTTAAGGAAATTGGTTTTCTTGTTTATTATTGACTTGTAAATTAACATGTTTCTTAGACAGCTGTAAGGCAATGTGTGCAAGAGGCAAAAAAGTAAGTGTTCCTAACACGTGATGTTGTAAATTGGGTAGAAGCAAAAATACATTTGTAAAGAACTATTCATTGGAGTATTTTCTATAATACCCCAAACCTACAGAACTATTTATTGATATTTATTATATCAATAGATGTTATTCAACCACAAGACAAGGGATATGAAGTTCTCATTCAAACACCTAAACCACTTAGAAACACAGAGACAATGGACCGCTGCTGTAACACAGCCGCATAAAACGAGGCAGCCCACTGTGAAGCTGCCTTCTGTTTCAAATGGATGGGATTATGGACTTTTCAGTTTTTTGATTATCAGACATAAAATATAAAGGATTGCAGAGCAGTAATTTTGTGCCATTTAAAGAAAGGAACTCATTGCAGATTTTGTCCTTATGACTTGTTAAGCCTCACATCTGCTGGCCTGGGTGCTCCCTGCTCTGGAGAGGAGAGCTCATGGCTGGGAGGCTCCTCAGACCAGCTTCACTTTTTAGCAGCTGTCTGCTGGAGAAGGCTGCTTCCCTGGACCTTTGCCTCCTCTTCTGGAGAATCAAAGGAAGAGTGATGTAGTTATCGCCTATGACTGTTTGGGGTATCAAGTGAGATAGCCATAGCTTATGTCGGTCCATAGCCTGCATCATTCAACAGATGCCAGCTCACTCTGCCCTGGCACACCACACCAACTCAAATCCACCCTGCATGTCCACTTCCGGGCCACTCTTCATCTGCTGTGGATTTTCTTGGGCTCCTTTGCACAGTTTCCTTGCAGCTGTTGCCTACAGCAAGCCAACCTGCAGACTTCGGGTTTATGCCGATCCACCCTGATGATTTCCATTGCTCCCTAATCTGCCCCACACGGAAGTCAAGCCAAGATTCTAGCAGCTTCAGAGCACTTATTGCACCTGTCACCCGTTGTCCTCTTGCCTGAAAGGACGACCCCTGTGGTTCTTTTGCTTGCACTTTACACTTCCTAAGGCTCACTTTCTCCTCTGGGGAAGCTTCCTGCAGCTCCCTGAGGTCTCCCATTTCTTTGTGATTCTACAGCTGTTCACTTATCACTGCTCAATCTGTATAATTGTGCATGTCATGCAGTTTACTTGTACTAATTTACCAATTGTACTAAATTGCACTAATTTAAATCAGAAATTGAGATTATCTCTTTTTCTATTACTGTCAACCCTCAGTCTTATTGTCTTTAAAAATTTTAACAATTCTTGTATTTATATTCTATTACTGGCACATCTACAAAATAATAGGAAATAAATAATAGAATAATATCTAACTAATCACATTAATACAAAAATCAGCTCTGATTTCTAAATGATTATTTACATTGAAACAACATCATGCCACATGTGTGTCCCATTTTGAACGTGGTCCCAAGCAAGCTTGACTGTTACTCCATAGTTCTTGTCACGCAGTCCCAAACCATTCCTTGTACTTCCTCCCACCTGCAGCTCCGTATTCCACTGCTTAGTTTTCCAGAAAGAGATTCAGACACATCTGCTTCTCATTGCTTTCGGTAAAGATAGAGCTTTTGCAAGGACTTTGCCACCAGAGCACATTTACTTGTACTCTTTCAAGCAATCTCCATTTTTCTAAATTTTCAATTTTGAAGGTATTGTCTGAAATAGCCCAGAAAACATTATTTTTTCAAAATATTGCATTAAGAATATTGAGTCTGAGAGTGGTTCTCTCTACTCTTTATAACAGCAAGCCTGAATGAAAACCCCAGTCCTCCTGAGCCTCTTTATTCTGGTTACTTTTCTCCACAGCACTTTCTACAAGTTCATCTCCTATAAATAGCAACTCTTGTTTGCTCATTTTCTGTCTCCCCCACTTGACATATGACACAGGAGAGCAGGGAGTTCGTTTTGCTTATGATTAGAACAATGCGTACTAAATGAATTAGAAACTTGAATGTTTTGGTTGAAAGGAGTTCAGTAGGCCATTTGTTGGGCAATATAGATTTCCTGAGTAAATGTCACCTATCTCTTTCAAAACTGCATCTTTTTACTTAAAAAATAATTGTTTTTAATGACACCCTTTCTAAAACACCCTGTATACTTGCCCACTGAATCAAGATTTCAAGTGATTTTCTACAAATGTGAATTATTGGAATTTGTATTTACCTAAATGACACCTCTAAGGGTTCTTCATAACTAAAAGGATATCTCATCCTTCTGCTCCATTATGAAGTACATGTCTGGCTTTGGGGAAAGCTAATTTCACCTCTGCTTACAGATCGGTGCTTATTTTCTAGGAGGATGAGGGTTCCAGAAAAGAAGTTGCCAGGTTACTGGCTAATCAGAGGTCTTGAATGACACCCAGGGACCAAGTTTACTGGTGTTAACCATGTCTACCCACTACTATGAGGTTTTATTCGAAATAAAATTCAGAAACAATATCAAGAAACTGTTTTATAACATAGTGAGATGGTCCAGGTTATTGAAACTTAGGATTCACTCAAAAACTGGGACTTCCAAGTAGATATTTAATTAGAGAACAGGAAGTTAAGTCTAGAATGCTTAACTCTGAATACAATTAAATACACATAATTCTTCTGAATCCTATTGAGTTTCAGAACTTGTAAAATCTCAGGTACTCATTTATTATGCAGGAGTGATGTAGGGATTTGAGCCACTAAGCTGTAGTTTATTGTAATTCCTTTTATTAAAACTGTCACCTGGCACCACTGAACTCTGTAGTTTATCTAAGAATGGAAAGACACCTGACTTACTGATTTATTCCACACCACGTAAATTCCACTGAAAACCTCAATAAATGGGAACACTGTTGATATTTTCACAAAAACTAAACTTTAACATTCAGTAATTTAACAACTTACGAACCTCAGACATCTTTAGTTAAATGAGATTTGTTGCTTTTCTAAAACAGATTCTGTCATGTATGGTGCCTGAGCAGCTATTCTCAATGTCTCATTGGAAACAAATGAAAGTCCATAACTTGTGCCATAAATCCACACAGCAGGTGCCAGACAGCTGATAAGGACACTCCTAAGTGCTTTGTCCCCATGCCCTGACACTAAAGCCATTAAGGTTTTGATGAAAAGACCTCTTTTGAACTTTTCCAGCTGGCTTTTAAGCTTCTTCATTTTCTTTTTCAATTCTAATTCTACAGTTTTTTTTTTTTTTTTAGGATAACAAAGAATCCCAACTCCAATTAGCCCTCCCTAAAAGCACAGGGCTGACTGATTTCTCAAAAGACAAAGCACACTTCTTCAACAATGTGAAACTCATGTCACAGC